TAACTGCACACATACCACATTTCAGGAACCCTTTGGTGCCTCTGCCCGTTTATAGAGATACCATTCCAGTGTATTGTGATGGATTTGGTGGGCGCTTTATTGAAATTAGCTCTGGGTCACCAATACATCTTCTTGGTACTCAATAATGCCACCAGGTATTCAGAGGCGGTCCCTCTGAGGAAGACTTCCTCAAGAGCAATTGCCAGGAATTAACATTTTCCCTAGGACCTGGTTTTCAAAAGAGATTTTGACAGACCAGGGCACTCCATTTATCTCAAGAGTGATAATAGATCTGTACAAGTCCTTCAAGATCAAACAACTGCATACCTCTGTCTACAACCCACAGATGGATGGGCTATCCAAACATTTATTAAAACATTAAGGTCAATGTTTAAGAACCTTGTGGAAAGAGATGGAAAAGATTGGGACTGCCTACTCCTGGCACTGATGTTTACTGTTAGAGAAGTACCTCAGGCATCCACCGGATTTCTCCATTTGAGTTGGTCTACAGGCAAAGACCACAAGGACTACTTAACTTGGAAATGGGAAAGTGAATACTCTTTCTATAAAGACAGTGGCAGAGCATATGACCCAGATGAGAGAGAGGATTGCTAAGGTGATGCGCCTAGTAAAGGAGCATATGCAAAGAGCACAGGAAGCACAGAGAAGGTTGTACAACCACTTTTCCAAGCTTAGACTATTCCAGGTTGGAAATTGGGTGGTTTCTACTCACAGTAGAAAGTATGTTCCTGGCCAGGTGGCAGGGGCTATTTGATATGGTAGAAAAGATTGGATAGCTAAACGATAAACCAAGTAAATCAACCTGGGAAGTAGAAGCCATACAACATATACCATATGAAATAGTTGCTTTGGCTGAGGTTAGTTCTAAGCCCTCTCTCAGAGTGGACTTGGTCCCAATACCCACTGCCTTGTCCAACCTCAGAAGCAAAAAACCAAGGAGTTTTTACAACTGAATAGGAAAATGTTTTCATTACTGCTTGGTCTTACCAAGGTGATCGAGCATCAAACTGTAACAGAACCTTGTGTAAACATCCAGTAAAACCCAACCACATTCCTGAAACACACAGAAGATGGAGTATAAGGTAATGAGTCGGCAACTCGTTCCTTATACTCTTATGCTGTTTAAAGTGCCAGGAAGACACTGTGATCTTTAGAGCTTTGTTGGTCTACCTCCAGGGGAAATCGACCTAGGCGTACATTTTCGTTTGTACACAGAAGATGGAACTCAATATCATTGAGAATCACAGGAGGAGTGCTTGAGCCCCTATTGTGTTGGTGCCAAAGCCCAACAGGATGTCAATGCCCCAGATAGACAAACTGATAGAGAGGTTGAGCCCAGCCTATTGTATTACCACCCTAGATCTTACCAAGGGGTACTGGAAGATACCTTTACCTAGGAAAGCCAGAGAAAAAAAAAAACACATTTTTCCACCACAAAAGGTCATTTTCATTATGAAAGGATATATTTCAGCATGCATTCTGCCCCAGAAAGTAATGGATACAGCTACTTACCAGAGAGCAATGGATAAAACCTTACACCTACATCATTCGGCATCAATCAGCTTGGTGAAGTTAGATGACATTGTCATCTTTAGTATTGATTAGGAGTCCCATCTTACGCAAGTAAAGGTGGTCAGGAGCAGCAGTGCCTGGTTATTAAGCGGGCTCTGGACTCACTGCTATTTTCTCCTTGGCAGGAAGTTTCGTCCAGTGTTGGACTATGCCCCACTGACCTGAATGAGACAAAGCAGACACACAAACGCCAAGGTAACCAGATGGGTTCCTGGCATTACAAGAGGTCAAGTTCGTGGTAGAACACAGGCCTGAAAAACATGCCAAAATGTGGATGCCCTTTCTAGGGTACACTGTATGGTGTCCCACAGTGTCTCTGACACCTCCACTGTGAGGCTGGGGGCTATACACAGGACACCAGGGATCGGTACTGGACTGCAAGTATATTTCTACACTATTTTGGTTGTAGTCCTTTTAAGGGGGGGTAGTTTGTAGGTAATGTTGGGGGGGGGGGGGGGTTCTGGGGTAGTCTGGCTAGAGAGGACTGTTTTTCAGTACTCACCAGATTGCTAAATCCTTATTAGGGACCTGGAATTTCAGAGGTTTGAAGAGTTTTGGGTGGAAAGAACTTCTAAAACCTGACTACAGGGTCTTTGGTCCTGCAGGGGTTAAGCCAGATGCCTCAAAGTGTAGAAAGAAAAGGGAAAAAGTCAGTGCCTGGCTGAGAGAGAGAGAGTTGAACACACCTGACTGAGTAAGGTGAACTGTTGCTGAATTATGAGAGCCTTCTCCTCAGGACTCCTGAAGCAGACGAGATACCTCAAAAACTCCAGTGTGGGATCAACAGGTTGGCAGTAAGCCATTGCCTTGTTTTTCCCACTGAACTAGAACTTTGGATTATTTTGTGTTTGATTTTACTGAAGTATGCTGTTTGTTTTTCTGGACTGTTTAAAAATTCTAGTAAAGAATGTTACTTTTACAAGCAGCTGGTGGTGAACCTGGGCTCCCATATGACAACATATAGACAACCCACAAATTAACAGGTATAGCAGTGAAAGGAATTGTTTCCGCCAAGCAGAGACCCAGGTCCTAAATCCAGAGAATATACTCAAGTAATAGCACCCCCTATATCACAGTAATTGGTGTAGCGCCACCCTTATAAGGGCTGCTTGCTTGTTTGCCCAGGCTTCCCCCTTTCTTCACCCCGCAGCCAGGCACCAGGTATTTATGCCTTGTCTTCAATGACCAGTCTAGGTTATGTTTGTTTTTGGAGTTTTATTGTAGAATTGGGGATAGGGATGGGGAATTCAGTAGGATACTCCAAAATCACAACTATTCACACTGAAGACATCTAGCTGATCTCTTAGTTAGCACTTTTGAAGTATTGGCTGAAGTGGAAAGCAGACTTCCCTTTAATTTGTAGCGCCAAGTAGTTTAGGAGTGAGCAGTTCCTTTTGCAGTAGTAGTAGTTACAAGGCTGAGCTCCTCACGTACAAACCAGTTATGACAGACTGCAACAGCCCAAAGATAACGTAGCTGCGCAAAGTCCTTGCAGTAGAAACAATTGGACAAGCTCTTCAGAACACTAGTCAGCGTTACCTTTCTTTTTCAGACCCACACTGACTATCCAGCATCAGAGGGGTAGCAAAGCACACAGAGTCCCCAAATTCGTCAATGTCTGTACTGACAAGGCCCAAAGACAGAAAGGTTGCCTCCTTTCAATCGTTCAAGTGAACCCCTCCAGTGATACCAGAGCTTTGGCAGACAGCTCCCTTCAGTCAGCTTACTGTAGAACTAGGGTCACTCTCTCTAGCTTCAAGCCTGCAGGTTAACCCGTCTGAGGCTGTATGGCAGCCAGTGCCAGGTGAGGCAAGCCTGCCTCCAGTCTGGATTGGTTCAATCCACTCCCAGGAAAGACATCGAACCCATGTGCTCACAGAACATACATACGATTTCCAACATGCAATGGGACTGCCCTCCCTTGCAATTGGCTGGGGCTGTATCTATATTAATGCTGTTCATTTGTCTAGTTCCCTCCCAGGTTCTGGAAGGCTCTCCTAGCTTCCTGAAGGTGGTCAGAACTCAAAGCAAACTGAGCAGCACCAGAGCATCATGAGCAGACCTAACTAATCCATCACAGCACTCTGTTAAGCAGATAGTCCAACTAGATTTTCCTAACAGCCTATCTGTTAAGCAGAGAAACTGTCAGGAATGGACTGGCCAGCAATGGTGGGACTCGCCTGCCTTATGGGCTGCAGTACCGGGGCTGGCCAGCGGGTGCTCCCACAAATCAGAGACTCAACCTTGCAGCCAGCTAAACACCTGAAACTGCTTACACTAGTGTATTTAAGGGATGGCCAGACCTGCAGACTCTGCCTTGGTGTGTGTTTTTCCTGGGCCCTGTATCCTGTTCCTGCATCCTGTTCCTGTTCCTGTCTTGTCGCTGACCCTGCCTGATCTGACCTCTGCTGACTTCTCCTGCTCTGACCCCGGCTCGTTCCTGACCATCCCTCTGCCTGACCCTCTGTACCACTCTGCCCACTACCTGCTTAACCTGGCTTGTGACCCCGACCATTCTCCGCTTGCTCCCCCTGTACCTACCTGCCCGATTGATATTGACCCAGCCTGCCTGACGACGCTTCCATTGTATGTACTGTTATCTGTGGGTGGTTTGGTTTGGTTCGTTTGCACTGTGTTATGTTTTAGTATTGCACTGCGTTTATGTTTGTATTGTTAGTGTTAATAAATTACATTGTTTATAACATATCTGAAGTCTGCGTTTCCCTGCGTCAGTCACACACCCCTGTGCCGCTACCCGGGAGCCCTGACATTACACCAAGGCCAATCCTGACCAGAAGTGGCTGCACAGGGAAGCCATCTTGGTTTGTTGCTGGGAAGGATGGATCTTGATGAGGTTGTGTATTTATATCTGCTAGTGTTTGATGACAGAGAGTATGCTTATCAAGCTCTGAAGGAGTATACCCGGGATGAACTGCTAGAATGTATACGGCTCGCTCATGTTCTAGTAGATCAGGGCACAGAATTCTCTGAGGTGCAGCCATTGATTCAGATTTGTGCGGAGTTGGTTTCATCTGGTACCCCCGAATGCAGGGACGAATTTTTGCCGCCATTTAGTGCCGACCAGGTAGAGTCCCTGGTATGGTTATTAGAGGATGATGTGGATTGCTTCTTAGAGCATTATGCTGCATGTTCACCACAGGTACTAAGAGATTGTATAAACGCAGTGCAGTCATTGACCAGTCAGGCTTTGTGTAAGCTCAGCTTTGTTCAACCCATACTGCAGACATGGACAGATTTGTTGCACCCAAAAACCCAGTCCTGCTTCTAATCTATTTCCTCAAAGCTCTATTCCTGCATTCCCAACAGCTCCTCCTGCCCTGCTATCTACCGCATGTCAGTACCCTGTTCCCACTCGCTGCACCTATCCTGCCTTTAACCCTGTAAAGAAGTCCTCTGTAGCAACTGTTCCCTCCCCTGTTCCATCCTCCAGCTCTTCTCTGTCTCCAGCTGCTCCATTCGTTTGCAGACCTGCGTTTACTTGCAGTGCTCCAGTAGTTAAAACCAGAAAAAAGCAAAAATTCTTTCCAACCAGTACCATCCTGCCAGTATTCAAACCGGTGAGCCTGCCGTCTGAGAACCCTGCCTTCCGTGGTTCAGCCTGGTGCCTCGGCACCCGCACTTCAGCCTGAGGTCTGTACCCAGCCTGATGCCTGTACCCAGCCTGATGCCTGTACCCAGCCTGATGCCTGTCTTCAGCCTGATGCCTCTACTCAGCCTGATGCCTCTACTCAGCCTGATGCCTCCACTCAGCCTGATGCCTCTACCCAGCATGATGAACTGATCCAGCCTGATGATCCTATTAGGCCAGTTGACTCGATGCCCGCTGTTGATCCAGATGATCCGGTACCTGATCCGGTGCCCGCTGTCGTGCCAATTGACTCAGAGCCCGCTGTCGTACCTGGTGACTCGGTGCCCACTGCCTTGCCAGATGACGCGGTGCCTGCTGGCGAGCCAAATGACCTGATGCCTGGTGACCCAGTGCCCGCTGTCGAGCCAGACGATCCAATGCCTGGTGACCCGGTGCCTGCTGCTCCGCCTGGGGGCCCGGTGCCTGTTGCTCCGCCTGGGGGCCCGGTGCCTGTTGCTCCGCCTGGGGGCCCGGTGCCTGTTGCTCCGCCTGGGGGCCCGGGGCCTGCTGCTTCGCCTGGTGGCCCGCTGCCCTGCTGCTTGCACCTGGTGATCCCCGATGTGCCTCTGCCCGGAGTCCTGCCCGATGTGCCTCTGCCCGGAGTCCAGCCCGATGTGCCTCTGCCCGGAGTCCAGCCCGATGTGCCGCTGCCCGGAGTCCAGCCCGATGTGCCGCTGCCCGGAGTCCAGCCCGATGTGCCGCTGCCCGGAGTCCAGCCCGATGTGCCGCTGCCCCGATGTGCCTCTGCCCGGAGTTCTGCCCGATGTGCCTCTGCCTGGTGTGCCGCTGCCCGGAGTCCTGCCCGGTGTGCCGCTGCCCGGAGTCCTGCCCGGTGTGCCAGTCTTTGATATCCCGCCAGTTACCAGACCCGGGCGGTGGAACATTTTGCCCAGCTAGGACTGTTTGGAGCGTCCTGAGGCCACTCCTTGAGGGGGAGGTACTGTCAGAAATGGACTGGCCAGCAATGGTGGGACTCGCCTGCCTTATGGGCTGCAGTAACGGGGCTGGCCAGCGGGTGCTCCCAGCAATCAGAGACTCAACCTTGCAGCCAGCTAAACACCTGAAACTGCTTACACTGGTGTATTTAAGGGATGGCCAGACCTGCAGACTCTGCCTTGGTGTGTGTTTTTCCTGGGCCCTGTATCCTGTTCCTGCATCCTGTTCCTGTTCCTGTCTTGTCGCTGACCCTGCCTGATCTGACCTCTGCTGACTTCTCCTGCTCTGACCCCGGCTCGTTCCTGACCATCCCTCTGCCTGACCCTCTGTACCACTCTGCCCGCTACCTGCTTAACCTGGCTTGTGACCCCGACCATTCTCTGCTTGCTCCCCCCTGTACCTACCTGCCCGATTGATATTGACCCGGCCTGCCTGACGACGCTTCCATTGTATGTACTGTTATCTGTGGGTGGTTTGGTTTGGTTCGTTTGCACTGTGTTATGTTTTAGTATTGCACTGCGTTTATGTTTGTATTGTTAGTGTTAATAAATTACATTGTTTATAACATATCTGAAGTCTGCGTTTCCCTGCGTCAGTCACACACCTCTGGTCATACCCGGGAGCCCTGACAGAAACACAGCTATACCTAACCTAACTATACAAATCCTAGCACATATCTAGGAGGGAGCTACATCAGTAAGACACCGAAAGAAAATGCAAATAGAACATGTTATTTTACTTTTTATGTCACTTTGGCTTCTCTTTTGCTTTCATCAATTTTGTAACAGTTTCCTGTAGTTCTGTAATGGGTTTCTTCTTGTTAATTATAAAATGGTTTATGGTTATCTAACCTATATGAACTGGTCAATGATGATTTATTGAACTTATTAAATGACTGAATGACTGAATAAATTGAATATTATGTGTATACAGTACATGCAAAATCTATATATGAACTACTTAGGAGGGTAGAACAAATACCAGAAAAGGGAAAGTACAGTAGAAGGAAGTACCAGCTTATCATTTAAATGCAAATTAAGAGAAAAAAAAAATAGATATATGTAAGTGGGTTTTACCCCATCTAAGGCCAAATGAAGGTCAAATATTATGCATGTAGTAGCTATCTTCCTAACAGAGTAACATTTCTAGAGGAATTATTGATGGACCTTAAAGGACATCAGTACCACTGAATGGTATCTTGAATGTTGCATAGTACGGTAACTTGGAGTGTCCATCCAGAGCAGCTTAGAAAGTAAACATGAAACAGTAAACTGTATGTGCGTATTGCAACAGGATACATTCTCATTCCTTGGTATAAAAGAAGGAATACTTGTCACTTGAGCTCATTACAGACCATGAGGAACCACGGTAGTGACCAAGACCAAACAAATTTAAAAAAGCAAAGGTGAGGATATTGCTGAAATGCGGTAGGCTCAGGGAGATTTATGCCCTGGGAGCTGATTTTTTTTGTGTGCAGCCTATTTGGGTCCAACAAAGAAGTGAGTTTTCCCCTGATAGATGACTCACATTTTTGCAGGGCTGATCATATTGTATGAAATCTGCTTGTCCATGAGCTGCATCTTAATAGACAAGAAGGCTGCAAGTTGATTTTGATTGGCTGCAGAGAAATCCGGAAATATGGTAACAGAATTACAGTTATACTCTAAAACACCTTTATCTCTAGCAGCTTTAAGTAAAACATCTGCATCACGAAAGTGCCGTACTGTAATCAGGATAGGCCTATGCGGTGTCCCAGGTGGCAATGGGCATAATGGCATTCTGTGAGCCCTTTCAATAGAAAATAACGGAGACAATATTTGAGGGCCAAAAGTTGCAATAAGCCAATGTTCCATAAATGATTCAGCACTCCTGTCTTCTGGTCCCCCAGGAAATCCAAAAGTGGTAAATTATTGTGGCAAAGATAATCCTCTAGATCAGTGGTTCTCAACCCGTGGGTCGTGACCCCTTTGGGGGTCGAACGACCCTTTCACAGGGGTCGCCTTAGACCATCGGAAAACACATATTTCCGATGTGTAAAGAGCAGCTGCTGTGTAGAAAGCAGCAGCTCTGTAGAAAGCAGCTACTGTGTAGAAAGCAGCCACTGTGTAGAAAGCAGCTACTGTGTTGAAAGCAGCAGTATTGGAGGTAAAACGACACTTCATGAATTATAATTACTGGGTAAATAATTTTATGGTTGGGGGTCACCACAACATGAGGAACTGTATAAAAGGGTCGCGACATTAGGAAGGTTGAGAACCACTGCTCTAGATCATTTAGCTTATCCAAATTAGCAACATGTTTCTGTAGATCTTTAATAGTGTTCCCTAGAGGAAGTACTGTATCCTTAATCTCTCCTATACACTGCTCAGCATAAGTGACAAGGTGGCAAATGTTATGTACATCTTGCTTAAGAACAGAGAGATCTATTCTGACTGATTCATAAAGAGGAGTTAAGGAGGCCTGACAGTGATGAATAGCTTCCATAATTTGAGATAATGTAGGCTCAGTACTGTTATCAGGTGAAATAAGTAGTTCAGGGCTCAGTTCTGTGTAAGAGGACTGTGATAAATTGGGGACACTGGTAAATATTTGCAGTTTGAGAGGGTGATTCACCCAGTGGTGCATTTTGGTTTAGTGCTGGTCTAGGCAAGAGTAAAATCTAGCGCACCCACATGCAAATTGGAGGAGAGAAGGAGAGAGAGAGATCGAGAACTCACCTTACCAGCTGTCCAGAATGACACCCGCCTGCAACCCCGGGAGCCCTTATCAGGAAAGCCCAACGTCTTCTTTCTTCACTGATCTCTGCCAATGATCCAGGAACGAGAGTCAGGCAGCCTCTCGCAGATTCCATCCCATGTAGTGGACACTGCTGCAGTCTCAGCTCCTGTGTAAGGAAGTGTCTCCGGAGATGATTCACCCCCTTTCTGCACCATTCTCAGGAGCTCCTGCTGTGCCTGTGCCTTACCTGCTCCCCATCCTCAGTCACTGGCTGCGACATGTATCACTTCTGACAGGGGGCGATTCCACCCCCCTGAAAAATGCCACCCAAGTCAAATGCCTTGTTTGCCTCGCTGTAATCATGCCCCTGGACTCACCCAGCATGGAGCATCTTGTGCTGCTGTTACATTCCGCACGGAGCTTGTCCTTGTGGAGAACCGGTGCCATCATGATGGTGCTTCCTGGAGAAGTGAGCCAGCCTTTTTTCAAGGGCTAGGGTGTCTAACTGCCCAATTTTTCACCATTATACAGAATCTTCAGCAGTAGTGGCAGGAATGATGTGTAAGGGAGGCTAGGTTGTAGCAGCAGGTCAGTGCAGGATCACTGGACCCAGACAGAGCTCTGAAACCACACTGCTCACATCCCAGAAGTCAGCCATGCCCCCACATTGAATAATTGTTGATACACATACTGTATATAGTTTGCCATTTTGTTCACTATCCCCTGTTGCTGGGTTGTGATATTGATATTGTTGTTAGTGCTTTAACCAATATTTCTTTCCAAATGATTTTTGTCTCTAAATAAATCTCCTCTTTTGTGAGTAACAAGGTTTGTTGATGTATCTTGGGTCAGTTATGTGTGACTCATCAATGGAGAAGGACAGAATAATCCATTTAACAGTGGCTCCTTTGGGGGTCATCATTACACTACCATTCCGGAGGGAGAAAGAAATGCACCCATTGAAAGAGGTGTGAAAGAATTGCATTTGGAGATTGTGACAGGATCCTCTCATGCCCAATGATCAGATCTCTGAAAGGAGGATTAACAGTGGTGGAGGCTGCCTCAGTTGTTTTTCCAACCACAGAGGAAAGGCCCAGCTGCATGAGGCAGTCACAGGCAGTACCTAAACCATATAATCATGAGCACAGTGGCTAAATGGTTAGCACTTCCGCCTGGCAGTACTAGGGTCGTTGGTTCAAATCCCAACCACGGCACCACCTGCGTAGAGTTTGCATGTTCTCCCTGTGCCTGTGTGGGTTTCGTCCGGGTACTCTGGTTTCCTGCCACACTCTAAAGACATGCTGGTATGTTAATTGGATCCTGTCTAAATTTGCCCCAGTATATGAATGTGAGCTAGGGACCTTAGAATGTATGCCCCTTGAGGGTTAGGGATTGATATAAATGTACAATATATATATGTAAAGCACTGCGTAAATTAACGGTACCTGAAATAAATAATATGAATTCAGGTTATCCAGGGTCCATTGCTGATGCAGACACTCTTCAAATTTAGGATCCATTCCATGGATTATTGGGTGTCCAGGTTGGACCACTGGCCCGAAGCCAGAAGCTCCAGTATGCAGTGGAGCTTCTGGCTTATCCTGCAACCAGTACGCTGTCTCTTAGGGTCTTCATTACAGCAGGTGATTTCATGAAAGTTCCTGCAACTTTTCTTGGCCTTTCGCCATTGTTAGCTCCTGCCACCTCTGCTAGACTGAAACCATTACCAGTTCCTGCCACCTCTGCTGGACTGCCACAATTACCAGCTGCTGCATTCTCCTCTGGCCTGCCACTGCCACAATTACCAGCTCCTGCCACCTCTGTTGGCCTCCCACCAATACTAACTTTTGACACTTCTTCAGGTCTACTGCTGACACCATCACCAGCACATACCATCTCTCTTTGCCTACTGCTGCCACCATTGCTAGTTACTGGTTCCTCTGGTGGCCCACCACCATTATCAGCTCCTGAAACTCTGCTAGCTGGCCACCATTCCCAACCTCTGCCACCTCTGCTGCACTACTACCATTACCAGCTCCTGCCACCTTTCCTGGCCTG